CTCGTATACACGTTACACATGGGGAAAACCACGAAAATGCCCATGCAGCCAGCCCGTTCGCGGGATTCGAACCTCGGACCGAACTACCAGTGTTCAGCGACTTTACCGCTCGGCCGCTGGTGGGCACATTGAAAGAAAGAATCAATCTGATAGGAAAAAGCTGCGACTTGTTTTGAAAATGAGGCGTAAAAGGTTACCAGCGAGAATATTCCGTTTGGCATCGGTTGTACCATTATTGGCGACTTTATCGCTTGCGCCGGCAAAACGGAAAAGTACCAGCAAAAGTTATACATTATTTGAAGCTCTGGACAGATTTTCGTAAAAGCATATATATACAAAATCCGAAATTTTTCAAATTCGGCATTTAAAACGCGTATGCATATTCGATCATGACTGAGAACATGCAAGATTTTGACTATTTATGATGAACCGAAAGTGGTACATTGCTTCAAACTCTTAAGAGATTTTCGCGGAAAATATAGTTTGGTTTAGTTTATTATGGCAAAGCACGCTATGATATCTACCTGAGAGAAGGGATGCCTCCGTGGAGAACTTTCTAAGAGAAACTGGTTCATATACACATTACACATGGGGAAAACCACGAAAACGCTCACGCAGCGAGCCCCTGTGAGAAAATATAGAATCACTACGATAAGAGTGGCACAAATTAAGGCTATTCCTATTACAGTTAGACACTGTATTTATTTATATCAAGCAGTAGAAGAAAGTGATTTTTATAACAGCGTTTCATTTGCCAGACTTCAAAACTCTTGTAATGCAGGCCAGGTTACCAAAAGATGCATTTGCTATTTTCTTGCACTGTTGTTGATGACGAGACACAAGAGCAAATAGCAAATTCGAAAACACCTATTGTTTTAACAACTTACTGATTCCGGAAGGCTCGGCAGTCAACATTCAGCTGTAGTTCTAAAAAATAAAAGTCATTGTTTTACCCATAACTGACGCCTTATTATTGCGGGGATATGAGTGCAGATCAAAATAAATTCAGATTTGTTGATATTATAGAAATAACGTGGAAGAAAATTGAACTATGGTATATGTTTCAAAGTATTTCCTTTTTGTAAACAATTTTCTTTAAGTAAATATCAATTAAATTATTTGTTATGTTTCAAAGTATTTACTTTAAATATATTGTAAACAATTTTCTTTAAGTAAATATCAATTAAATTATATGTTATGTTCAATATAGTGCGATTTTTTTATAAAACGAAATAAGAGGACAAACATTTTATAACATTAATATAAATTAAACTAGTTTTTACACATGGCCAATTAATAAAATACAGTTCAAATTTCGTATAATAGAACTTTCTGCTTATTGGAGCAATAAATTAAATTTTGTTTACGAACGATGAAGCGGAAGTGATACTTAAATCTCGTTCAGGAGCTCATGTGCTACATCAGATCTTTTTAAAATTTAGATTTGAATAGTTTATTGTTTTTATAACTTCTTCTCAAATCGAAAATTTGTTACTATTTATTTATTTATAAATTATTACTGGAAATGCAGAAATTTTTATAAAAACTTAATGCCTTATTTTGATTATCCGCAAAAATTCCATCTATGCTTGATAACTAGTATTATAATAAAGTTGTTAATGTTGAATTCTTATTAATACTGAAAATAAAGCTAATGCGACACCGTCAGTTATTCAGAATAGTGTTAGAAATGTTTGGTGTTTTTAACTCATCAGCAGTCAAGCGGGTAAGAGCGCTAAACGTTGTTACTTCGATCTGGGTTCAAACCCCAGGAAACAGGCCAAGCTGATTGCTTAGTAGTTTATACAGGATGATTCTAAATTGTTTTTACAAATTAAGAGGGGTGATAGTACTCATCCAGATGAGCAATAATTACCATAGAGCAATTGTCGCATTCCACTCTGAGAGACAGAAAAGAGGAATATTAAAATACAGCCTGAACTTAACACACCCCTTGGGAAATGAATGAACGAGACCAAAAGTTGCACAATCGGTAATTAGAAACTCGCAGAGTTTCACAAAACGGATAAACCGATAACTGGCGTTCAAGTGTTAATTCGAGCTCAGACTCTGATGGCAAACACTCAAATGCACATCTTTGGTTGGCAAAAACTCAACCTCGCAAACAACTGCAACAAGTTAATTATCTAATCAAGGGCTGAATATTATTAACTAACTCCAACTTCCACTGTATGCCGAGATTATCATGAAAAGTTCGTGCTGTGTTCCGGCTGTCAGAACTTCGTGTCCCATAGAAGGGCTTTTCAAGTAACATGAGCGCAGTACAGCAAGTCCAGGGGGACAGGATAAAAGATGGAGGAGGGGGGAAAATCTGCTACCTTCTTCATACTTGATATCAAGGTAGCAGTTTTTTCCCCCTAATAGATAATTTCCCTCTAATAATTTAGATAGTTAACTTTTTTTTGGCAATCGTTTGTGAGGTTGAGACCTTGCCAACCAAAGGCGTGCATTGAGAGTTGTTAACACTCGAAAGCCAAGTTTTCAGTTTTATCATTTTTGTGCACTCTCTGAGTGTTTCACTAAACTGATTGTACAATTTTTGGTCTCGTTCATTCGCTCTCCCAACACTGTCGTAAGTTGAGGTTGGAATTCTAATATTCCTCTTTTCTGCCTCTCAGAGTGGAATGCGACCCTTGCTCTATGGTAATTATTGCTCATCTGGATGAGTACTATCAACCCTCTTAATTTGTAAAAACAATTTAGAATCACCCTGTATAGTTTTCCTCATATGTAGTGTGAGTACAAGCCAGTTTCGCTTAAAAAAGTTCTCCACTAGGGCATTTCTCCTCTTATACAGGTAATCCTAGAGTGTTTTGCCATAATCTAAAAAAACCAATCCAGATGTTGTTCTGTAGAATTCTGGCCTTTAGTAAGCTAACATGTTTCATGGAAAAAATCAAATAAAAAAAATTATCTTACACAACAGAAGTAATATTTGGGTCTTTTTTTTTAATAAAAAAAACATATCCTCGTGCACCACAAAGTATTACAGATGCTTACAAAAACGTAAGTAAAAAAAAAAAAAAAAAAAAGGTACATCAACTTTAAATAATACAATTAATATGCTTTGCATGCTGAAATAAATAATCTTTTGTTGCTACAAATATATTGCACTGCTTTATTGAACTGATAACCCTATTAAGAGTCCATGAAAATTTGAATTATACGGAGAAAGAAATATAGGGGAAATACATTTGATTTGTGCGTAAAAATTCGATTTAAATCGAGATTTTGAATTTTTCTACAATGCTACTATCTCCTTAAATCGCTCAGAACTCAAAATAATTTTACCTTTGAATTGAGAAAAAATTACTTCAATCATTACATAAAAATGCAAAATTCTCCAGCATATGGAAGAATGTCAATAGCATCTATTTTTGAGCAGAGCTGTTCTGACATTACAATAAGTTAGATAATTTTTTTTTTCCCAAGTGAGCAACTTTTGCCCATCGCAATTTTATCCAGCTCCTCGCAACTCTCTGTTTGCGTTTCATAAAGACTGAATGTAAATACGCGACACGTAAAAGATGGTACTTCAAATCTTAATAAAAATTAACTGCAGAACTAACTTGTACACAGTTTACTGTAATAGAATATTATCCGATTTTTAGCAGATTGACGATTGTTTACAGAACATTTTCCTCCGTCTGCGCGCGTTATGAAATCATACGATACAGATGTTTGGTATATCAATATACGCAGCCTAAATCTGAGAAAAATTATTTTTTTAAGGTGATGAAGGATACAATGAGTAGAGGAGCCATAATATTACCCAGACGTATAAGGTATGAAAGCCTGCCTACTAGGTCATACGAGATGCGATATTATTTAATTAATATCTGCAGTAATTTTAAACCTGTACAAAAGAAATCAGCTTCGTTTCTTTATAATCTGTATATTACAAAGCTAGAATTTAGAATGAGAGATATTTTCATGAAAAAAATTTACAGCTATGCATATCAACTCAGATTTTAGCTCAAGATAAGAAATATTTGTTTAAAATATCTTATTCTTATTTGCCTCGGTTTAGCCCGACATATTTCATCATGATTTCTTTTCGTAAATCAAATTTAGTTACAGATTCTGAAAAAGTTCAGCTCATTGAACTCGGGGGGGGGAATTAAATAAGATTACTGTTAATGATAGCGTCGAAGGTTCTCGAATTTATGTTCCAGTTAACATTTCATCTGTGGCTTTTGGATCATAAACGCTTTATACACAAGTTTTTTTTTTTTTTTTTTCTTTGTTGAAGCGAGTGGATTTACCTAAATAAATTTATTACTAGGTAAAAACTAACAGTAACTCTCTCAACTGAGTTTCCCGAGAAATTTTTAGACGCTTTAAAGGAATAAAATCTTAATCCTGAACAAATCTACAATTATGTAGAATTTTTTCGACTTTACTATTTAAGTTTGTTCCTTCCAGTCTCAATTAAAACAAACAATTTTGTGTAGGTGTTTCAAACTGATTAAATTTTTCTTTCAGTAATAGATACCATGAAGAAAAAACAATTTTATTTCAAATTTCTTTTATATAAGTTCCTTTGATCCGGGTTTCTATAATATAAAATATATTTTAAATTTTTTCAGATTATTTTGAAGAATGAAAACTAATTCGTCATTTAGTTTCGTTAGTAAATTTATTATGATTTTTTCTGACTGTAAAATGTGTAGCATTCACGTATGTAAGAAAAATCAAAAATCAAATTATGTTCAAAAAAATTCAAAGGGAGAGCGATCGCATTTCCCTTCCCGTTTGCTCAGCATTAAAAAAAAAAAAAAAAAAAAAAAAAAAAAGTTTTGGGCTCATTCCTTTTTTTATATTAGTGATGCATTTTGAATAATCTCATAGCATTTTATAAAATTCCTTCTCATTATTTTTATTGTGGATTTTACACGACAGAGTCGATTGATTTTTAGTTAAACAATTTTGTGGATTTAAAACACAGATTCAGTTATCCAAATGTTCTTGAAACTTACCTTATAATACCAATAAACTGTGACATACTCATATCGTCAGGAGCGAGAAATTTTACTCGATCAAGTGTGGGCAAGCTCTTTTCACCTTCTGCTTTTTCAACAATGATCTGAAATGAAAAATCATTAGCGAACAAAGCATTGATTCAAATTCACAGTAAATTTAATTCTATTTTCAGACGACGATATTGTTCACAAAAATGATAATGCTACAAAATAAATATAAGATTTCTATACTTACGAATTAACGCAACCACCGTGGCGCAATTAGGAGAATTTTACAAATGAAAAAGAAAGATGACGTAAGTCATCATTCAATACAATTGCAAAAATTTACTTATTACATGCATAAACATTATTACATATATATTTTTCATTCTAATCAGGTATTTATCCGAAAATCAAAAAATAAATTTACTTACAGGCTGGTTTTTGTTTCTTTGGTTTTGGTGGAAATTTATTGGCGGTCGATTTAAGAACAAATTTAAAACAATTGTTGCCTTTATCGATTTTTCAACAAGGCACTGTATTCCTGCAGACATTTTACCACAGTTTCTTCCACTGCCGCCCGTTTCTCCAAGCGCATATTTTAAAAATGAGTTTAATGCAAAGAATATGACGATTTGTTTATGAAAGAAAGTTGGAATTTGGAATACAATAAGAAAAACGCATGCGAAGATGGCGAAGTTGTATGACTGAAGGATTGTTAGGAGAATGGTTGCCTGACGAATAGTTATGCGCATGGTTAAAACATTTGGCCTATTCTTTGAAAATTTTATGGCATCTACTAAGATGGTTGGGATAATATGCAAGTACCTAGATTTCAATATACCAGTTACTGTATATAACGCCGGCAATTGCAAGAAATTGAGAAAGAAGGGAAGGGGATCACTGTCGAACTACAGTCTGTTAATTTTAAACAGTCACTTCGAGGACTTTCCTCGTTCACGATCTAACACGTGTCGTTATTGCTCCACAGAGGGAATTATGGGGTTTTAGCAAATTAGAGAATTTGACCTTTTTTCGGCAATAGTCGTTGCCATGGTTATGTATTATGGTTTGGGGAGAAATGATTTGATATTCCTACCCTTAAGTAATAACAGACTATAGATATGTTTGGCACGAGCAAAATCTACGTAATATAATATTATACAAAACTGTCTTGAATGAATGATAAAAATTTCGTCCATATGGCTTTTTTTGCTACTGAAAATTCAACATCCTTTTCCAGAGAATGGACTTGATAAGCAAATACATTACTCGTTAGAAGTTAAATTGTAAATCATATTTTTCCAGAAAAACTGATTATACACTTAGACGATTGACCACAATCTGTAACTAATAAACTCATGCACAGACTTGTTACAAAACTGCTTCATAGGATCATATAATACAAAGGAATTCTACAAGAAACATTTGAAATCCTAAGATAGCTCTTCACATTGTAAAACTTCTCTGAAATTAGGGTACTAGCTGTTAATTCAAAAATACATGAATTTGAAACATAGAGAGGACCATACAAATTTTTAATAAAATTATCTCGGACACTATCTCAATAAAATATCGTGAAATATAATTCTTCTTGTTATCCGCTCATTATAGAACATGTATGCCATCTAGTTTGACGTAAAGTAACCTAAAACCATTTTCTCTCAGACGGTAATGTATAAATCTCTGACAGTTATCTTGGAGTTTGTAATAGGATTATTGAAAAGCGTTACCATCATTTGAAAATAATTGTTGCATAATGATTCCCGAAAATTTATCCCAGTTTCGAAATTCAGCATTATTTCTTGAGAGTTTTGACAAGAGCTTTTGTGTCTTTATCAGTTCTACCAACTTAAAAATGTGTCTTATCTTTGTAAATGACATGAAAGGTTAAGTGTCTATGATCCTCCACACTTATAAGTGTGGAGGATCATAAAAATAGATATAAACTATGAACTAAAAATACTTTAAAAGTCAAATGATGTAGATAACCCGAAGAGGAAGACAAAAAGAAACTCGCAAGGGAAAGAATTAGTTATAAATCAAGAATACTCTTCAAAAATCAGCAAGTTTTCAACTTTTTAACATGGGGTCTTTAACAGTAGTTTTCTGAAGAAGTTCAGAGGAATTTTTAAGTTTCACGAGAAGTAATTTGAAACTTCTAAGTAATTTACATGCATTTGTAATTCAAAATCACAAATTGGAACTTAAATACTTGGCCTTTATTTCCATCTATGGGAACAGAGAGTGAAATTACTTGGATAGAATGTTACGCTTATCTAATTTGTTGGCATCCGTTTTCATTAATTATTTTTTGTCCGGTTTGTCTTGCTTGCATTTATAACCAGTTACTTTTTATTCTAAATTTTTAGTCGGTCATCTTTATAGGTCAAAGAGTAAAAATCCTCTATTAAAGCATTTCTTACAGCTCGAAACACTGAAACGCGGTAAATAAATTGCCATAAAAACAGCGTTTCGTTTGAATTAAAAGAATATGTCAAATATATATTAATCTTTACATGACTACTTAGATTTTACTACAGGATCGTCAGGATTCGTACTCGAAAACAGAAAAAATTACTTGTTACAGTAAAAAAAAAAAAATTATTCTTTTCTGAAGTTAAACAATTTTCCGCAAGTCAAATACACCTTTTAAACTTGTAATAAAATTTCAAGATCTTCGAAATTTGAACGCAGCAAATAATAAGGATTTTTTCCTTAAAAATATTCAATTTAAAGAAATGAACTTTGCAAAAATTACGAAATCTATCTTTTTATACTTTCCTCTGGTTGCAAGACTTATAGTTAGGAAAATTTTATACTCGTTAACAAAAAATAAAACACAAAAAGTTTGAATACCTTACTACAAAAAATGGACGAGATATTTAATTTCAAAATTTGCGAGGCTTGACGTCATATTTAATTTACACTGAGCGGTCAATAAATAAATTAGAATGATTCGAGTTTGATTTTTTCTTCCTTTAAATGCCATTCATTGACATTGTTTCGTGATTTATAATTTTGTTACAACTGGAATGATAAAAGAATTTTCATATATTTAATTTATAAGCTTTTATAGTCTAAAAATGCGCTAATAACATTCCTATGAAATTATACTACTTTAAAATCATAATCTGGTAAATTCATAAACCTACGAATATTTTTCACTTTTCATTAATATTGTTGCGTGCGTACGGGTTCGTTACGAAATTAATGCACAAGTTCGATGAAAAATGAACAAAAATTTATTATTATCACAACAAAAATGCTTAAATCTTCTCAAATTATCATGCAGTAGTTATCTTTAACTACTCAAATGTTCAATAGAACGGTAATTCAAAACAGCTAAAGAAAGCTAATCCGCGAATTCGCTACAATCAACAAGAGCAGTTTTCTAAACAACAACAAACTAAGCAACTACTACAAACTGAGATGGTTTTCCTCCTTTTATAAGATTTTAAAATTCACGCGCTGAGAATTTTCCAGTACTTTCTCGAAATCAAAAAGAGATATTTATTTATGTTACATGCACGCGCTCTTGTATTTTCAATTTTCCGGCTTAGCTTTCTTTTAATATTCGTCACGCGCTGCACTGCGCGGAGAAATAAAACCATTTAATTTATAATTGAACTAACATTAGCTTTTTAAATACCAAATTCGTAACACTGCCCCCTTCCCAAGGACTGCACGTCCCGGGCAGTACAATCCCTGGACAGGAAGCTAAACTTACAACTGTGGCATAAATGCATTAATAAGCATTACATTACAATTATAAACAACATGAACAATAAATGCAATAAATAAAACAAATCAAGTGCTATCAAATACTAAATACAAAACAAATACTAAATACAAATCAAATACTAAATGCAAATCAAATACTAAATACAAATCAAATCAAACACACATTTAAAAACAAAAAGGACCATGGTCTGATACTATTTACAATTATTTACATTATGCACTATGGCCATAGTAATGAGCTAACCTGTCGTAATGAACGACTTTATGAAGACTTACGGATCCGAACCACGACGTCATTCGTGTTTAGGACTGTATATGGACCATCCGAAGGTGACTGTAATTTAGGACTCAGTCCTTTCGTTGACATCGGGTTCCACAACCACACCTTGTCTCCTTTGTTGGAATCTATGTCTAGTAGCTCTTGTGTCGCATCTGGTCTTCATTTTCTCCGTCGCCAAGTTGACTCGCTTTCGTACAGAACGGTGCATCCCCTCAAACCGGGCCTGGAGCATCTTGGATGTGTTCCTCAGGCGATGAAGGCGCATCCGTAGGGCGACTAAACAGGCGGTCACAAGGCAGACGAAGGTCTCGACCGAAGAGCTTCTGGGATGGAGAATAGCTGGTAGTCTTGAGTTTCTTTTCGACCCTGGTATGATTTCGGCAGCTTCCCGAGCTCGATCTTTCGGACAAGGCGTCGACATTTCCAGGCGAGGATCCCTTTTGAGGATGGATAGTCATGCCATCAGATGCTGAAAGCAGCTTATTGTTTTTGAAATCTAAGGAAAAATTGTATTTCCTTAAAAAGTCCAATCCGAGTATGCATGGATCTGTAATATCCGCCACATATGCCGTGTGATGGTAGGCGGCACTTCCAAACGTGATGTTTACGTTTAACTTCCCAGTTATGTCGATCTTGTCACCAGACGCAGTCTGAAGGGTAACACAGGATGGCGTCCAAACAAGTTTATCTTTAAACTGTTCAGCTAAATCTTTCCTAATGATGGTAACATTAGCTCCTGTGTCAATGATCATATTGCAAGGAACTCCATCGATATTCCCATTGATGGACAGTCCGTTATTGTTGCCACTCACTATAGAGATCTTAAGCGCTTTAAAAGAGGGTTTTCCATTATCTGGCAACCTCCGTTCCTTGATATGGTCATTAATTTTTTCCTGCGTCGTTGCTCAGAAATTGTCTCAATTTTCGTACCCTGGGGTGTTCTGCAATTCTTTCGTACGTGGCCTTCAGCTCCACAGTTCCAGCACTTTGGTTTCTTGTCAGTCCTTTTCCGTCCCGTGGCATTTAATTGTCTGTTTAAATCGTCTCTGCCTTATTTTCCGTGCTCTGGGGAGTTCTGCAGTTCCTTCGTAGGTGGCC